CCACCCAGCTGGACTGACTAGAGGTGACCGAGCAGAGGTATTGTAGAATAAACTTCGTTGACTCGGTCTTGCCCGCCCCCGATTCGCCGCTGATCACTATCGCCTGGTCGGCGTCGTCGGTGCACAGTTTCCGGTAGGCGGACTCGGCGATGGCAAAGACGTGCGGCGCGAGGTCGCCCAGTCGCTGGCCGCAGTACAGGGCCTGGTACTCTGCCTCGTAGATCTCCAGCTCCTCGTAGGGGTTGACGGCAATCAGTATGCTCCCGGCGTAAGTCTATTTTTTATTGCAGAGAGAAAGAGCAGAAGTAAATTAGCATAAGGTCAAGGTCAGAGATTGTCCTCCACTCCCTACAAGTAAACAAACGAGCAAGCAAATCACACTCACATAAATTGACTGATTTTCATATCGAACGCGCAGGTTCTCATTGATGCCCCCCTCGTCAATGTTGCTGATCAGCGTGAGGTCGGCGACGCCATCGCTGGCTCGGCTTCCTGTTTAAGTGAAACGAAAAGAATGATATCAGGTTGACAAGTAGTCATAAATAAAAAGCAGAAAAAACCAGTCAGCACTTTAAATTTGAAAAGCGAACAAACAAACAAACAAACAGTCTCGCTTACCGATAGGCTCATCGGAAACCATGTTTTTTCTTGAGTGGCGGTAGTTTTAAGTAGATAAACAAACAAAAGAAGTGGTACAAAGTACAAAGTAAGTAAAAAAAAGTGTAAGAAGAAATCACAACAAAAGAAGAAGAAAAAGAAGAAGTGGTGGTGGTGGCAATCAAGTAGAAAAGCTAAGTAGTAGCAATTAGTGGCGGCGGCGGAGAATAGCACAAAAAAAGCAGTAGAGCTGAACAAGAAAGTGGATCACAGCAGCGTTGCAGAGAAAGAGAAAGAGAATAAGAGAGACTGACTGACTGGCAGACGACAGAAGTGAGGTATCTTTTGTTCAGAATTCANCAAGTAGAAAAGCTAAGTAGTAGCAATTAGTGGCGGCGGCGGAGAATAGCACGAAAAGAGCAGTAGAGCTGAACAAGAAGGTGGATCACAGCAGCGTTGCAGAGAAAGAGAAAGAGAATAAGAGAGACTGACTGACTGGCAGACGACAGAAGTGAGGTATCTTTTGTTCAGAATTCAACCAAAGACAATGAATAGTAATGAGTAATAGAGTATAAAGGTAGTAAAATTTGAACTTTGCAGCTTTTGGAAAGCCTAAAACTTGAGCACGTGTGTTCGTTGTACGGTTGTCTGCAGTACAGTGGAAATTGTGGTAGTGGAGATTGCAGAATGGCGATGAAAAAGAAGCACAGTCAGTAGTATTTCCTCCTCCTCCTTCAACTCGACTGCCTTCTTCTGTCTTCTTTGACGGCTTTCAGATGATGACAGAATGAGATGATGATTCATCGGTAGGCAATGGGAATGCTGGTGTGCACCACAATGATAGAGAGACAAAGAGGGAGGATAAAAGTGGAAATTGGGCTTGCGGCGGGCGGCAAATTAGCCTGAAGAGGAAACTCTGCTGGCGATCCTTTTTCCTCTCTTCACTTTCCCTTGATCAGTCACCCGGGCNAACAGAGAGGGAGGATATAAGTGGAAATTGGGCTTGCGGCGGGCGGCAAATTAGCCTGAAGAGGAAACTCTGCTGGCGATCCTTTTTCCTCTCTTCACTTTCCCTTGATCAGTCACCCGGGCAGAATTTGGCTGTCATTTAAGACGACGACAGAGAGAAAAGGAAGAAACTGATGACAGGAAAGCAAACAATTTGTGCTTTCAACTTTTCTCTTTCCTCAAGTCATTAGCAGCAGCCAAATGAAGCAAGGGGTCAGAAGAATTACCTCCACCAGCAAAATATTTGGCGATAGGCTCAACGTCGTCGTCAGGTCACTAATGAGAGAATAGCTAAGCCACTTTTTCTTCCCAACAACGGCAGACGACACTGAGATCTCTGTCTAACTCTCTTCTTTAGCGAAGCGTGCAAAAGAAAGAAAGAGTGCACTACCT